CTTTACCAGAATGCACACACTCTGACCTTCAATATACTCTCTCCCATTAACTTGCAATCTGATTTCGGAGTAATTATCTATAATTGGAAGGTGGTGAGTGATAGTGAAGTGAAGCTTTTTAAGCTGCCTGGTAACAACTCCAAGCAGAGATAGTAGGAACTGCAGATGCTGGAGAATCTGAAGAAGGGTCTAGGCCCGAAACATCAGCCTTCCTGCTCCTCTGATGCTGCATGGCCTGCTGTGTTCATCCAGCTGTACACCTTGTTATAACAACTCCAAGCATTTGACTTCCCAATCGATGAGACTTTGTTTGTTTGTTTATACCTGAGCTGCTTAGACCTGCGTGCTGGTGGCTGGCAGGTTTAATTGCAAAGCTCTAGCTGCCCTGTGGGCACTGGATGGCATAACCCAAGTTTGTTTGGAGAGCAAAACATGAGCAAATCTGTTGGATTTTTTTTATCTTGACTGGCCCATGCGTGCAGACTTTTATTTACAATGGATTTTGGTTGCCATGACCTCCCCGTTGTCAGCCCAGTATCGTTAGACATGTAATCTACTATATCTTCCTGTATATTTGCTGGAACCCCTCTCTAATCACGTGGTTAATATTAGTGCTAAACTTTGGGTATGGCTACATTGGGTGATTTTTTTTTTTTTAAATGGAATAACTATAGTTTTAAGCTGTTTCCTGAAAGGCAAATGAGAAATTGATTTTCATGAGTAAAATACCAATTCTCATTGTACACTTGCTAGAGGGATGAAGGTTATCCTGCAGCTGTATAGGGTGCTGGTGAGGCCACACCTCGAGTACTGAGCACAGTTTTGGTCTCCTTATTCAAGGATGTTCTGGCACTGGAGGGGGTACAGAGGAGGCTCACTTGATTTCGGAGTTGAGAGGGTTGGCTTGCGGGAGAGATTGAGTAGACTGGGAGTATGCTCATTGCAATATGGAAGAATATGGGGGGATCTTGTAGAAACACATAAAATTAAGAAGGGAAGAGACAAGATAGCAGGGAGGATATATTTCCAATGGTGGGTGAAACTAGACCTAGGGGGCATAGCCTCAAAAAAAAAAGGAAGCAGATTTGGGACTGAGTTGAGGAGGAACTTCTTCACACAAAGGGTTGTGAATCTGTGGAATTCCCTGCCCAGTGAAGCAGTTGAGGCTACCTCACTGGGTGTTTTTAAGGCGACGATAGATAGACTTTTGAAAAATAAAAGAATTAAGGGTTATAGGGAGCGGGTGAGTAATTGGAGCTGAGTTCACGAAAAGATCAGCCATGATCTTATTGAATGGCAGAGCAGGTTCGATGGGCCAGATGGCCTATTCCTCTCTTGTATTAGGTTCTTTGAAGTGTTCAATGAATGCAACAATATTGTATTTAATATGTAGCAGCTTGCCTTCATACTAGAATTTGCAGTCACCGATTATTGACTAGGAGCATGTGTTATAACCTTTGAACACGCTAACTTTCATTCTTTTTAAAAAGAATGAGATTTTCAGGGTTTGTAATACACTATACAAACTTTTTTCAACAGTTACAAAGCTGAACTTTGGCATTGCACTGTCTTTTTATAAAGACACTTAAATGAACTGATCTGTTTTTAAAGCAAGAGATGATTAATCTCTGATCCCTAATGGAAAAACTTGTCAGGTGTCAAAGTCAAATCCCAGGAAAAATGTTTTTGCTGACAAACAAGTGCTTACATAGTAATGCTCACTCTTGTAAGCAGTTGTAATTTTATTTCAAAATCCTGAAAGTGCTCCATGTACTTTCAATTTCAACCACAAGTTTCTTTGTTACTGGTCCTTGAGGATTCATCCAATTCACCTTGCTCCACGAACTGAGGTGTCACAAAATCCAGACATCCACTGATTTCCCTCCCTCCACCCTTTTTGTTTCTCTGTATATTGTGGGATTCCTTGGGTATTTTCTCTGTGCAACATCTGGTTAGGTGAATTTTCCAGCCTTCCCTAATTGTTTTTTTTTTTGTTTTTAACCTCGCTTCACTGCCATCCATGTATCGTGACTCCCAAACCATGACATACCTGACTTCTGGTGTGCTCTCGGTTTGTCATCCTGATGGATATTCTTGCCTTTCTGTCTAGTTTGGATGAGATATGGCGAAGCAAACACTTCCTGTGCCCCTTCTGCTATGGCAGTGTGACATACGTCGCATGCCATACAACATATTTCTTCAGCTCAAAGGACAATATTGAAGTGCAAGTTTGAGGATACATCAATTCTGAGGAATTGTCACTCAACCCAAAACGTTAACTCTGATTTCTCACCATCGGGTGCTGTCAGACCTGCCAAGCTTTTCCAGCAATTTGCTTTAGTTTCTGATTTCCAGCATCTGCAGTTCTTATTCAGCTTTTTATTTGGATATGTTCAAACCTTGCTTGGTTTTGAATTGTCTTTTTTTCTTCGAACTGGAATTGAGTAATTTGTGGTGGTTTGGTTAACTCATCGCTGGCATGTGATTAGAGAAAATTGTTGACCATTTGTTTAGTTCCTGAGCCACCTATAATAGATGTGAGAGAGGAGTGCTTCCTCGCTTCATACATGATGTGCCACTCAAACTACCTTTTTTAATAGCTAGTGGAACGAATGGCCTGTGATCCTTCTAGGAGTATGGTTGATTATCACTTCCATCATCTCAACTCCTTTCTGTCTGCAGCAAATCCCTGCCAAAGTCTCTCTTGTGATGCCTACAAACATCCCATCTGAGTTGTACAGAATGGAAACAGACCCTTCAGTCCAACTTGTCCATGCTGACCAGATATCCTAAATTAATCTAGTCCCATTTGGCCCAAATCCCTCTAAGCTTTTCCTATTCATGTACCCATCCAGATGCCTTGTAAATGTTGTAATTGTACCCACCTCCACCACTTCCTCTGGCAGCTCATTCCATGCACACACCACCCTCTGTGGAAAAAGTTACCCCCTTAGGTCCTGACTGTTCCCTCTTTCCTTCAACTAGTTTTGGATTCCCCTATCCTGAGGGAAAGACATTGGCTATTCACCCTATCAATGCCCCTCATGATTTTATAAACCTCTATAAGGTGACCCCCTCAACCTCTGACACTCCAGGGAAAATAGCCCCAGCTTATTCAGCCTTTCCCTATATGGCAAACCCGGCAACGTCCTTAAATCCTTTCTGCATCCTTTCAAGTTTAACAACATCTTTCCTGTAGCAGGGAGACCAGAATTTAACTCAAATATTCATAAAAGCCTCTCAATTCTAGGTATGAGTACCACTCACTATAATCCCAGCCACTAGAACTATCCTTTTTTGTTATTCACCTGCAACTCTAGGCCTGCCTGAAACCCTTCAAATTACTTTTTTTTTTCGTTGCACATGTCCTATATTTAAAATTGATGTTTGGATTCAGGAAAATGTGTTTTTACAATCACAAGACATTGTAGTTGTCAATTCACAATTGCAAAAATTGAAATTGTAACTTGGTGCTAATCTGGAGTCTCAATTGAAAAGGGCTAATGAATTCAATGCTGGAACTATATGCCTGTGGTATTGTTTTAGAATTTGGTTTTATTTCCAAGCAACCTTTCAAAAGTGTGTGCCATGCTTTGGTAAATTGTTACTGGATGCAAGCAGATTTGGCTTTTCTAATGTTGAAATTGAAGCCTCACTTGCTTGTTTTCGTTTTTGGCCCGTAAACATTCAGTTAGACCATTTTCCTGTAGTAAATGTCGGAAAAAAGGTTGGTTTTTTTAATTGTCCAAATGTTTGAGGTTTTTTTAAAAACACGAAAATCATTCCAACTGAACAGCTGGGCAAGTAATCTGAATTTCTATACAATGCAAAACAGTGAAAATAACACTTTTACTGAACATTCAATCCAGCCTTGACCTTGGAAGGTTTTAAGTTTGCATATGGGAAAGTAAGACTGCCTTTGCAATGACCTTTTAAAGAAAGGAGAGAATGAACTTTGTAGCATGTACACTGTTTTGGAAGCTGGTGGAAACTTTTTTGAAAATTGGTGTTAAATATTGTTTGGAAATGCCATGATTGGTGTCAAGTGTTATACTGGTGTTTGAGAGAGTGCAAAGTTCACTAGGAGGTGAGTGATTGGGAGCAACCTCCAGTCCAAACCCCTTTTTTTTGTTTGTCACTGGTTGCACCGTACCACCTTTAAAATAATGTTGAGGCCTCATCAGATATGGGACTTCCTACACTTGTAGCTGCAGCTTTATGCAATACTCCACTCACTGTAACTGTTGTTCACTTTCCTCTGGCTGCAAGGCTTGAGCTATTAATCAGAACCTAAATGGCTAAACCAGAGGTGAAATCTAATAACCACGTTCTGATACAAGACAATAGGGGAGGTTGGTGTTCCTTGATTTAACTCCTCTTCTTGGTTGAACTGGGGCTGGCCGTTGTCTCCGTACTCTTGTAGTTGCATTCACACAATGGTGTTGAACATAATAAGAATTAGGAGCAGGAGTAGGCCATCTGGCCCTTTGAGCCTGCTCCACCATTCAATAAGATCATGGCTGGTCTTGACTTGATTTCAGTTGGCACTGCATCCCCAATAAACTGGTTGTGCATCTTGAACGTGTTTGAATTGCAATGTAATCAGAGGGGTCCTTTTCCTGGCTTATTTATTACCCCTTGAACCCCTCTTTTTAACCAGATTCCAACATTGTGTCAATCTGTGTGTAAACAATAAAGCTACATTTTTGGGCTAGAAGTCATAAGCTGTCAGTCTGATTTCTTCTTGGATAAACTTGAATCCGTGGCTTCCTTGCTTTGCAGAACCTTGTACTTGTTCTGAGGAAGGACCCAAAACGTTAACTCTGATTTCTCTCCACAGATGCTGCCAGACGTGCTGAGCTTTTCCAGCAATTTTTGTTTCTGATTCACAGCATCTGCAGTTCTTTTGTTTTTAACCTAGCACTTCACCTTGGGTGGTGGCTGTAACTAGGAAGGCAGCAGCACACTTTTTAAACTCCTCTCTCTTTTCTTCTTCCTCCTTTTTAGGTCCGTACGCTTTTTGTCAGCGGCCTTCCTATGGATATTAAACCACGTGAGCTTTACCTTCTCTTTCGACCATTTAAGGTAAGAACTTGTTATCATTGCACACTGCTGTCTAACTTGGGAACATCCAAAAGCACCCTGCATCAGTTCTAAATTTGAGCGGACTGATTTTTTGACTTGCGTTGTAGCTGTTGGTAAAAGGCCATGAGCAATTTTGCCTATGGTTGAACTTCACATGCATAAAATATCTTTTGTAAGAGAACAGGTAGCATGTGTATTGTTGCCACTTTTTTCAAATGCTGTTCTTTACTTCTGCATTTTTCAAACTCCTGTGCAACTGTATATCATGTGCACTGGATAAACCGATACAGGACAAACATGGATACACACACAGAGAACCAGATCAAAAGTACACAGACACAAACACAAACTATTTATAATATTTTCAAGTCTTGTCAATAGTCTGGACATCTGAGATATCATATTTATTTCCTATGACTCCTTATGGGCAATTAGCACTTTAAAACAATGGACTAGATTTTCTCAATTTTGGGTGTTTCTTAGTGGTGTCCCATCATGGCTTAAACCATTCTGTATCTCTGACTTTTTTTTTTGTTTAAAATCTTGTGCAATGATCTCTCTTCTGTGAGACACCTGTATACCAAAAGCTCTCATATCCAGCCCCATCTTCCAGCTCTGTCTTCAATTTTATTGAGGTGGCTGTTGATGAAATTATGTTTGTGTTGTTTTAAGAATGCCCCGCCCTCATTTCTTGATAGTGCTAGGGTAGACGTGAGGTTATTGACCAATGGAAATAATAACTTGCTAAGCCCCTGCCATGTTGTTTTAAACTGTTGTTCATTAACTTTGTCAGTAGTCGCTCATCAATTGCACTCTACCCTCTTAGTAGGTTTGTATGTTCTGTTCTCACTCCAGACTTCAGTGTGGCACTCAATGCTAGGATTCCAGTGCCAGTGTAGAAATGTAACATTGCCTGAAGTGCTGCCTTTCAAATAGGTTGGTAAATCGAGCCTCTGCCTGCCCTGCAAGTGAAGGTAAAAGGTTGCATTGCACTTCGAAGTAGGGGCGTTCTGGTGTCCTGGCTGATACTTTTTATTGCCTGAATCTACCTCAAGTTTTTAAGCATCTTGTTGTGAGCAACTTATTGCAATGGTGACGTACATTTTGAGTACTTCATTGGCTGCAAAGTGCTGTGGTTGTGAAAATTTGTGTCAATGCATATATAAATGCAGGTTCTTTTCATATCTGCTTCAATTTGTCTTGTGTTAAAATATCAGCAAGCTGATATTTTAGTTGAATTCCACCTTCATATTAATTTGAGTTTAAGAATTCATAGAATCCTTAGTGTAGTAGCAGGCCATTTGTCCATCAAGTCCACACTGACCATCCAAAGAGAATCCCATCCCCATTCCCAATACCCAATCCCTTTAACTTTACATTCCTTATGGCTAATCCACCTAACCCACACATCGCTGGACTGAGAGGAAACCGGAGCACCTGGAGGAAACCCACGCAGACATGGGGAGAATGTGCAAACTCCACAGTCGGTCACCCGATGCTGGATTCGAACCTGCCTCCCTGGTGCTGTGAGCAGCAGTGCTAATCTCTGAGCCTCTGTGCTGCCTGTTTGAGTAGGTGACAAACACCAATTCAATCTGACCTATAGGACTAGATGTGGTCTGTGTGGTTACCCACTCAAGGTGAAGTCAGCTACCATTCTCCCTTTTAGGACTTCTGGCCATCACAACTTTGAACTGTATACATAAGTGTGTTGGTGCCCTTTTTTAATTAAAAGTGCAATCCCATGATTCCTCAACCGAGGGCATACAGGCATGGAACTGTCTTGTAAAACCACGTAACCAGACACCTAATCTGTGCAATTAGTACGTGGTTTTTTTTTTGTGGTTAACTAGGTTCAGTTTGAAAGTCTGCAGAATACAAAGGTGAATTTATTTTTGCAAACAGTCTGGAATCTCCAATGTAACATGCTGCAGGAAATCCTGCACGTGATGCAACTTCCTCCAACTCCAGCAAAGTTAGCAATGAGATGCAACTGAAAAAGCAGCTAATTCGTGGTGTGCTTCGTGCATCCCCCACGAAGGGACGGAGAGCTTTCCAAGCCTTGTTCCTCTTGGAACGTTGCTGGTTTTAAAATACCACCACCTCTCATATGTTGCCTGGATAAGGAGCAACTGGGTCCCCTTAATTGAAGGCTGTCATGAGGGGTTCATGGTGAGGGGCAGTAGGTTTAGGGAGGATGTGTTTTTACCCAAAGAGTGGTGACGTTCTGGAATGTGCTGCCTTTGAGTTAGTCACGTCCTTTTTAAAAAGTCACTTGATGAGCACTTTGCTTATTTGTAACATTTGAGGCTATGGGCCAAGTGCTGGTTAACAGGATTAGGTTGATGGTCTGGTGTTTCCCAAGCATTGGGACTCGATGGCCGAAGGGCCTCTTTGGCCCAGCCTTTCTTAAAAAAGACATACTTTGAGAATTTAATACCCTGGCTGACCATCATTCAACTGGTCCATAAATTGACTACAATAAGGTTTGAAGTTGAGAGTTTGAGCCAGAAGTACTAATCTTTTTTTAAAAAAAAAAAAAAAATTGAGCTTGAATTATGATTTTTGGTAACCGCTGCCAACCTTCCAACATAATCGGGCTTGTGATAAAGAGCATGTTTAACATGTGGAGTACTAATTAGGTGGTGCACAAATTTAAGGCATCTGACAAGTGCTTAAGTCATTTTAAATCTGCCCCATAGACTCCATTTCATCTTCAAGGCATCTTGATGTGGTTAGTGGCTTTGTTAGTGCACCATCTTTTTGAAGACTGGTCCCTTCCTTACACCTGTGTGGCTGTTTCTCAGCCCACAGGCTGTGGCAGTTCAAGAAAGTAGCAACAGCATTGCAAGGGCAGTTTAGGGTTAGCTAGCAGCAATCCACATCCTGTAATGAAATGCATGAACTAAATGAAATTGTGGCTTTTTTTTTTGCCTGAGAATACTTAGCTTTGTCCCCCCTGAATCTGACAGCTGCTTCTAGATTTATCTGATGTGCAGATGAATGCAGAAAGAATTGGGTGGGACTGGAGGCAACCCAGGATCTACTCTGGAACCTGGTTTCTGTTTCACATGAGCGATCTAGTGAGCTTCCCTCTTCTGCTCGGTCTGTTCGAAATCCCATTGAAAATCAAAGTGTTCGGTGAGGGATAACTGTTTTTAAATCCTCTTTATTGGAGGACCAATCGAGCTGGACCCTGTAACTTTTTGTTGCAGAGATGTTGAAGTTTCTTGTGATTTAACTGCTAATATCGGATGTTTGTCACAGATGGAGGTCATTCAGCCCATCGGATCTGTGCAGAGTCTAATCCCACTTTCCAACTCTCGGTGCATTGCCCCATTTGTTGTAGCCTTCTAGCGTATGTCCAAGTGAATTTAAATCTGCTTTTAAAGCAAATAACTTGAGGAAACCAAAGCTGTATATAGCAATCTAAATGTGATTTCGCCACTGAGTATAACTGCAGTAAAATTTCCTTTCTGTATTTGATTTTTCCCCTGAAATTCAAACCATTTCATTTTCCTTCCTAAGCACTTGCTGTAACTGCATACTAACCTTTGATTCGTGCTCTGGAACCCCCAGATCCCTCTGTTGTAGAGTTCTGTAATCTCTCTCAAACAGTACACTGTCTGTTCATTTTGTCAGGGAGAATAGCAAAGTTCATATTTAACTCCTCCTTTTAGCCCGGAATTAACTAACCTGTTTCTTTTATATCTACCACTTCTTCCTTTGCTACCCTATCTCGGGGTCACTACTAAAATTTGTCAACCTTGCATTCCTTCATTTAAGTCATTCAGAATAGATTGCATATTTGGGGAGGGGGGGGGTGCTTTCCTGATGCAGTGGTAGTGTCCTTGTATTTGGGCCAGGAGACTTGGGTTAAGATGGAAAAACATTTCTGAGCAATTTGGTTAGAAAATATGTAGATTGTGGAATAGTTGAGGATTCCACAGTGGTCCCCATGTCATTCCATGAGTTAGTTTGCTAACATGAAAAAAGACTCATTTCTCCCTACTCTGCTTCCTGTTAGGTAGCCAGTCTTTGATCTATGCTAAAATGTTAGCACTGTATCTTGTCCACCAATCTTTTTTTTTTTTGAAGTGCACCTTTTATCAAACATCTTAGAAATCGAGTATACCACATCTACTGGTTCCCCTCTATCCACCTGCGAAGTTACTTCTAAGAAGTGCCTATGGATTACTTTAAGCACCATTCACCTTTGACAAAGCCATATTGGCTCTGCCTGCTCACCCTGACTTTCCAATTCTTCTGCATTCCTTTAGATTCTAGCATCTTCCTGATGACAAATGTTAGCCTAACTGGCCTGTAGTTCCCTGCTTTGTTTCCCTCCTTGCTTAAACTGTGTTAATTTGCTATTTTCTAATCTTGGGACTCTCCCAGAATATAAGGATTTATGGAAGATTATTTATACTGCATTCACTGAGTTAAACTACTACTTCATGCCCTAGTTTAAGAAACCATCTGGTCCTGAGGGCATGTTAGCCTTTAGGTCCAATTAGGTCATGTTTGTGCCAGTGAATGTGCCTCCAACAGGAGAGACCATCAACTAAGTTGCCCCTTGTTCAATGGCATTCGCATTGCTGGATCCCCCATCCACCATATCCTCAAGGGGAACCATTCACCAGAAAGTGAACTGAGCCAGAGTTTTTAATACAGTGGGCCACAAGAGCAAGTCAGAGAGGCTAGAAATTATGTAGTAATTAATTCCCCTCCTGACTTTCTAATGTTTGCCTACCATCTTCAGGTTGAGAGGTGATGGAATATTCTCGACTGGATGAGTGCAGCTCCGACAACATGCAAGAAGCTCAACACCATCCAAGACCAAGCAACTCACTGACTCCCAACCACCATCTTCAACATTGACTCTCTCCATTACAATGTGCAGTTGTGACAGTGTATGCCATCCACGAGATGCACTGCCATAACTTACCAGCTTCCTGTTACCTCTGCCATCTAAAAGAACATGGGCAGCAGATACATAG